TTGGGTAGGAAAATTTGGGCCTGAATTGGGCTGGACCAAGCAGGCCAGGACGCTGGCTGGGCAGCGGGTTCACGGGCCAGGACGCGGGCTGGAGTCGCTGTCAGAAATGGGCCGCGCGCGGGCCTAATGCGGGTCAAGAAGCCCGCACGCCTTAGGAGCCAAATAAGCTGGTAAAATAAAAATAAAACGCAGCCCATGAGGTTCGAACCTAGGACCGCTTGCAAGGAAATTGGGTACCGGCACCACTCTACCAAACGACGGTTTGTGATGTACTCACAATCTTCTAAAGTAAAAACAAAACCTGGACTTAAGGGCCAACTGAACAGAAACTGAGAATTTTACAGAGACTTGGAAAATCGAACAAATCTGCTAGAATGAGAATCGACTCATTTTGAGAAGTAAATAATTTTACGAAAACAACAATCTAGAGAGATCGAAAACATATATAATGCAACCAGTTTGTTCGGGAAATGAAATGACATATAACGACTCGAAAGCTACACGACTGACAACAACAAGACGACGACTCGGGTAAGTAATACGAGACTCCAAAAACAACAAAACGGGAATCCAAAATTCACGAGCAATAACAACAATAAACAGAGTTTGAATTTTATGAACGAGAGTCCAATAATCCACGTTAAATACACGATCACAATGAACATACGAAATATTAATCGAACCGACAAATAATCCGACAAGGAACGGTTCAACGATCATGAAAGTATTCGAACGATAAACACAAGTACGAACGAAATAATAAGGAGGTTCGAGAAGAATTACCCGTCTTTGGGAAATTTACGAGAAATCGAAAAAACGGGTCAAATGAACGGAATGAATGGAGGCTCGTCGGAACTAGACGAGACTCTACGGCTACGCTTGGCACTCCGACGGAACATGACGGGAATAGACGGCCACGTTCGGCACTCCTACGGGACTCGACGGGACCCGATGGAGGGTGATGATGACGGGATGCTGCTATGGCTCTCGGGCGGTGGTTGTAGCGATGGAGCGGCAGCGACGGGGAAGGGAACTCGCCGGTGAGCATTGGTTGCTGCTCGAGGCGAGGGTGATGATGACGACGGGAATTCGATCGAAGTGGAGCTGCCGGGCGAGTTGCAGGTTTGCGAAAATATTTTTATTTTTTTTTTAAAAAAAAAAACTTGCTAACAGGTGCAAGAGAGAGAGATACAGAAGGGAAGTTGAGGGAGCGGGTGATGAACCATCTGATGCTCTCAGTCAAAATTTAAAGGAGCAAGAAAAAGATAAGAGACGAACGTGCAAGAAGATATGACGAGAGAATCGCGCCTGCAATTCAAATTGCACGACTTGGTCACAGTGCAGAAGAGAAGAAGGAAAAGACCGTATAATCTATCTTCTAATGGGCCAAGGAAAAGATATCAAATGGGCCAAAATATTAATATCATTTGGGTTGAAAAAAAAATAGTAAAAAGGCCAACATAAAGGCATAGCAAATGGGCTAGAATTTAATCATCCGAGTGGACCGAAAATAAACATATGCGATAACCAAGAATTTCTGCTCGACCCGATTTAATAGAATATGACCCGAAATAAACAAGTAAAACCGGATTATTTATATTTATAATACCAGCAATGTATATTTATATAATAATAGGCATTTAAAACAATTTGACATTTAATCACCAATAAATATTTGCTAATAATAGTAATAATAATAATAATAATAATAATAATAATAATAATAATAATAATAATAATAATAATAATAATAATAATAATAATAATAATTATAATAATAATAATAATAATAATATAAATAAGCAATAATAATGGCAATAATAAACCAATAAATAATTCAAATTCAAACGGGGCGTTACAGTCTACCCACATTACAAAGAATTTCGTCCTCGGAATTCGAAAATAAAACTAGAAAGCGATAAAATACAAAGGAGAACTCATAACTCAAAGATCGGATAGTGCCTCCTGATATCGTCCTCCCTCTCCCAAGTCGACTCAGTCTCATCGTGTCGGCTCCACTGCACCTTTACTAAGCTCACTGCCCGGTTCCTCAGCTGGTGGACCTTCCGGTCCAAGATGGCTGCCGGTACCTCCTCGTAGGTAAGGTCTCGCTCGACCTGCAGCTCTCCGAACTCCACCACAAGATCAGGATTATGCACATACCTCCGAAGCATCGAGACATGGAACACGTCGTGCACACCCGACAAGTCCGGTGGTAAAGCCAGCCGATACGCTAGATCCTCGACTCGATCGAGGATCTCAAACGGTCCGATATAGCGAGGTCTAAGTTTCCCCTTCTTTCTGAAGCGAATCACACCTTTCATGGGTGAAACCTTCAAGAAGACATGATCTCCCACTACATAAACATGCTCTTGCCTCTTCCAGTTGGCATAGACCTTCTGCCTCTCTTGGGCCGACCTGATAGTCCTCCGAATCTCCTCAACTGTCGCAGCAGTACTTTGGACAAAATTCGGGCCCGTAATCCTCCTCTCTCCAACCTCATCCCAATACAAAGGAGTCCCGGCCTTACGTCCGTACAAAGCCTCGTACGGGGCCATCTTGATCGAAGAGTGGTAACTGTTGTTGTAGGTCAGCTCAACTAACGGAAGGGCATACTCCCAAGTCAGGCTCCGGTCCAAGACCAAAGCCCTCAAGATATCCTCCAAGTACTGGATCGTACGCTCCGACTGACCATCTGTCTTGGGGTGAAAGGCTATACTGAACTCCAACCTCGTCCCCATAGCTCGGTGCAACGTCCTCCAGAACTGACATGTGAACTTTGGCTCTCGATCAGAAACAATCTCCACGGGTACTCCATGAAGCTTAACAATGTCCTTGACGAACAATTCGGCGTAATCACTCGCCTTCATGGTCGTCCGGACTGGCAGAAAATGGGCAGACTTCGTAAGGCGATCCACTATCACCCAAATTGAGTCATGCCCGGCCCTTGATCTGGGCAGTCCAACCAAGAAATCCATGGTGATGCACTCCCACTTCCACAGGGGAACCTCATGGGGCTGCAACAATTCTCTCAGTTTCTGATGCCCAACCTTCACTTGCTGACACACCAGGCACCCATCCACGAACTTCGCTATCTGCCACTTCATGCCACGCCACCAGAAAGACTTCCTCAAGTCCTGATACATCTTCGTGCTACCAGGATGGATGGTGTACGGAGCACTATGGGCCTCTCTCAAGATCTCTCTCCGCAGTTCCCACAGCTTCGGAACACAAAGTTTACCCTCGAAGACCAAGGCTCCATCAGATGCGACTGCGAATCCGCCAACTTTACCGGCTTCGGACAACTCTCTCATCCGGCATAAGAAACGGTCATTCGGTTGCTCGGTGACTATCCTCTCTCGAAGAGTCGGTCCCACAACCAAAGAGGCCAACATGCCCCCGACTGCTGAAGTCGACTCCACTGTCTCTATCCGCAATCGCTCGAACTCCCGAAGAAGAACATCCTGCCCGGTAAACAAGCAAGATAGCTGGCCATAACTCCTCTGACTAAGGGCATCGTCTACCACATTAGCTTTCCCAGGGTGATAGCTAATGGTGCAGTCGTAGTCCTTGACCAGCTCCAACCATCTACGCTGCCTCATGTTCAGCTCCTTCTGAGTGAAGATGTACTTTAGGCTCTTGTGGTCGGTTAAGATCTCATACTTGCCTCCATAGAGGTAGTGCTGCCAAATCTTCAAGGCGTGGACAACTGCAGCTAACTCGAGATCATGAGTGGGGTAGTTCTGCTCGTGAGGCTTCAGCTGCCTCGAAGCATAGGCTACGACTTTCCCTTGCTGCATAAGGACACATCCCAAACCCATCTTTGAAGCATCACTATAGATGGTGAACTCCAAAGTAGGGTCGGGTACAGATAGGACAGACGCGGTAGTGAGTCTCCTCTTCAACTCCTGGAAACTCTCCTCGCACTGAGGACTCCAATCAAACCTCACGGCTTTCTTCGTAAGGTTGGTCGGTGGCTGGGCTATCTTCGAGAAGCCCTCAATAAACCTCCTGTAGTATCCTGCTAACCCCAGGAAACTACGAACATCTGCGGTACTTCTTGGCGTATCCCATTTGCTCACCGCCTCGATCTTGCTGGGATCCACCTCAATTCCTCGAGCTGTCACAATGTGGCCAAGGAATGCCACACGGTTCAGCTAGAACTCGCACTTTGAGAACTTAGCATTTAACTTCTCGCGGCGAAGAGTCTCCAGCACAATCCTGAAATGTTCCTTATGTTGATCGATATCTCGGGAATAGACCAGGATGTCGCCAATGAACACAATGACGAACTGGTCCAGGAAAGGATGAAAGACCCTATTCATAAGGTCCATGAAAACGGCTGGGGCATTGCTGAGTCCTAACCGCATGACTACAAACTCATAGTGGCCATAGCGGGTACGGAAAGCAGTCTTGGAAATATTTGACTCCCGGATCTTCAGCTGATGATAGCCAGAACGCAAGTCAATCTTTAAGAAGACGCTGGCTCCTCTCAGCTGGTCGAAAAGGTCCTCAATACGGGGAAGGGGGTACTTGTTCTTGACTGTGAGGGCATCCAACTCCCGATAGTCAATACACATGCGCATAGATCTGTCTTTCTTCTTCACGAATAGGACGGGTGTACCCCACGGCGAGACACTCGGACGAATAAAACTGAGCTTAAGAAACTCCTGGATCTGGGCCTTGAGCTCTTGAAGCTCCTTCGGCGCCATACGGTAAGGGGCCTTAGAAACGAGGTTGGCTCCTAGAACTAGGTCAATGGTGAACTCTACCTGGCGGTCGGGCGGTCCTCCAGGCAAATCATCCGGAAAAACGTCGAGGTACTCGCAAACGATGGATACTCTCTCGGGCACCCGCTCATCAACATCTTCGGATACCATGGAAACAAGATAACCTTGACAGCTACCCTTGGAAAGGCTCTTCCTAGCTTGCATAAAAGAGATGACCCGAGGCACAGTCCCCGAACTCACCCCAAAGAACACAACAGGCTAATCGGAAACATGATAGAGGGTGACTTCGCGCTCCTGGCAACGAATATCGGCTCGGTAACGGGTGAGCCAGTCCATGCCCAAGATCATGTCAAAGTCTCGCATATCAATTACATATACGTTGGCCTCCCGAACTCGACCACCAATACAGATAGGAAGATTGCAAACCACTGAATCAGAGATAATAATTTTTTCCGAGGCTAAACTAACCTCGAGAGGATCACAAGCATGCACGGTGCCAATAGATAAAGCCTCCAAGCAACGAGAAGAAATAAAAGAATGTGTAGCACCGGTATTACATAATGCAAAGACATGCACGTTGGAGATAGAAAGCATTCTGGACATAGTACCTGTGTTGCGAGCGGCCTCATTGTGGGTGATGGTATAGACTCGGGCCTGACCCCCAGCCCTCTGCTGGAACGGTGGGGGCTGCTGATGCTGCTGATGAGGTGGCGTTGCGGGAAGCTGTTGCTGCTGCTGAGGGTAGGGCGGCTGTTGCTGTTGCTGCCTCTTCGGCTCACGGCGGACATTGGCATAGTGTACCAGACGGTTGCAGTTGAAGCAGTTGTGTTGGTTAGCTAGGCACTCGCCACTGTGGGATCAGCCGCATTTCGAGCAGGTTTGGCCAGTGAAGGATCGGTTGTCGCGCCTATCAAAATTTCCATTCTTACCCTTCTTCTTATTCTGGAAGTCGGACTTCCTCTTTCCAGAACTAGAGCCGGGCGGCACAGATGAGATGGGCTGAGCATGCTGGACAACGGTCTGAGATGGCATTGAGGCATGATAATAAGAAGGAACTGGAGCTATCGGATGAGACAACTCTCTACCTCCTGAGTCCGACTAACAGTGTCGGTGAAAGACATCGGCCCGTGACTTCCCACCAGTTCACGGATCCTCTGATTGAGCCCCTTGAGAAATTTGCGGGCCTTCTTGGCATCGGTGTTCACTGCGTCGCCTGCAAAAAGGCACATGCGGGTGAAAGTGCAGATATACTCATCCACTGTGGAGCTGCCCTACTGCAAGTGGTAGAACTCATGCTCCATCCTATCCCAAAAGCTCTGGGGAAGGAACTTGCTGCGCACCATCACTTTCATTTGCTCCCAAGTGAGAGCATGAAGCTCCGCCTCAGGCCTCCGAGCCCAGTGGTCAATCCACCAGTCGGAAGCGTCCTCCTTCATCTAATAAGCTGCGAGGGATACCCGCTGACGGTTCGGGAGGGGGAGTACAACAAAAATCTTATCCAGCTCTTTCATCCACTCCGGCACCGCTGTGGGGTTCTCAGTCCCCGCGAAAGTCGGTGCATTCATCCTCTAAAACAGGACTATAAGCTGAGTGAGGTCCATGACCAGAGGGGCCTGGTGATGACGACGAGGCGGGGAAGGAGTCGGGGATGGCTGACGGTTACGGTTGTTGCGAGTATTCATACATCTACATTGAATAAGCCGAACAAGGTTTAGCACAAAACAAACAAAATAATCAATATATTAGAAGTCTAGAGTTCGCCAATAAACACTAGAGTTTGATTAAATCAAGGTGGATAGGTCATAAGCCCCAAAAATAACAATTATACCACAAGTAGTCTCATTACCACATGTGTTCCATTTACATATCAAGTATTTTCATTAATACTTAAATCAAACATACCTTAAGCAGCGCGGAGTGACGGAGACGAGTGGTCATAACAAAAGGTCTAAACACATAATCACATATACGCCAGTCTACAGAAACGCAGACTGTCTCTGATACCAAACTGTAACACCCCACGTTGATTTTACAGAAATTCTTGACTTTCCAAAAATCAGTACAAATTTTTTGAGATCTTTTTCGAAATTTAATGGGTGTTAAACAACATTTTTCACAACCCAAGTCTTACCTGGGCCCACGGGGATTCATTACCCGGTTTTCACAAATGGTTTTCATTAACCAAAACATATCATACGAGACTTAATACTCAACATGAATAATCAACCACATCATCATACCCAATAATTAAGGGTTCCACAAGTTTTCCAAAAACAAACAAGTCATAAGTTTTGGAAAAAGGTTTAAGCAAGTCTCAACATAAAGGTTCATAAAGTTTTATTTATTCCAACGGAAGCAATAAATGCATGACCGACCCACTCGCCTCTTCTCGTCACCCAACTCCTGCTTAACCTGCATCGGTGAAGAGCAGGTGGGATGAGCACAAGATGAAAAGCGTGCTCACCACTATACACATATATCATTAATAATAATGTAAAGGAGGTATGGTTAAAGTATGAACATAAATAAATTATTCTGTCACGTCTCCTAATCACATCACAACATAATACCCACGTGTACACTTCTTTCATTAGCCAAGGAAAGGGGATTCATTACCCTAACTCATGGGGGTACGTGCCATACGAAAAGATACGGCCTTTCATTAGGTCTTACGGAGACTTACCTCGCAAGGTAACCGTATTACATCGACGGGGACAACCGTACCGACGGCCGAAATCGGCTCACGTCGATAGGCTACATGGTTCACATACATACTTAAATTGTAACACCCCGCCTAAAACTTACTAAAATCAGAGTAAATTTTTCGCGCTATAAAAGGAAAGCACTTATTTAATTTTCGAAAACTCATATTATTTTTTTCGAAAATACTTTAACTTTAAAAACGCGGGATGCTACTCAACTTTAATCTTATATCTTTATCTTTATCTCTTTAATCTAAAATGCATGCGAACAAGTAAATTCATTCTAGAATTAAGGCCATGAATAATACCGGTTAACACATACATATTCTGAACATCTGACATAATCTGACATCTAAAATACTAGTCTGAAATCTGACATCTGAAACTCAAGTCTGAAATTCTGAAATATTGTTCTAGAGTGCGGAAGCAAATATAAATTCAAATATCGAGACAAACATGCAACTAACGAACATAAATAAAGTGCAATTAATTTAAACAATTCAAAACATAACATAACACAAATATCTTGACTGATGACCACCACCACATATCCGGCTCACGCTGCACGCGGGACTCCGTCACCTGAAAAAGAGGGTAGTGGGGAGGCGTGAGCACAAAGGAATCAACGGTGCTCCGCCGGGACCGGCACTGATATACTCAGCACAATTAATAATAAACTATGGAATCAACATATATATGAATAAACTGGTCTGACTATGGGACTAACGGTAAACCGGTACTCATGTGCACACTCTGGGGGTCCCCTCCCACAGAAATCCAGGCTGGGCCTCGCCCACTCACCTAGACGCTGGACTTAGGCTGGGCCTCGCCCACTCATCTATGTCATAACTGAAATCTGATATCTTGACCAAGACGGGATCACTCATCCGTCTCGGTCCTTCAATTTAATCACATATAGATCTCAGACATGGTAAATTATTAAAAGCGATGAAATACACAGTACATGGTCCCCACCTGGAAAACTGGCGAATGCAAAGGCTGAAATATCTGAAATGGGTAGCTGATGGAGGCTCGACTCTCCTCAAGCTACAAAATATATTGAGCGAATTATTCTAAGTACTAGGCTCAGAATAAAACTCAAATCTTTAATATCTTATATATCTAGGTTCGCTCACTCGGCTTTAAAAATTATTTTTTAGGATTTACGAGCTGATTTTAATAATATTATCGTCTTTGAGGCATTCTAGAGTTCTCTGAAATATTTATATGTCTGGGACTAGAATCTGACTTAATCTAATCTGACTGAAATCTAAACTATATCTGAATCTTAAATCTATATGAAATTCTTAACTTTATCTGAAATCTTAATCTGACTGCATCTGAAATTTATCTGACATTTTATCTGAAATATATATCGAACAGTCCGGCTGACCGGACCAGTTCGACTAAACTGGACCGACGGCTCACTCGGAGTCGGTCGGTCATTCGCTTGACTATGTGCAGCTCGGTTTGACCGTGGTCCGAGTTCGGCGTGGCGACTCGGGCCGGCACGAACTCGACTGACACGGCTTAGCCGATGCAAGAGTTGATCGGTGCCACGGTCACTGACGCAGGGGCGTGCTTGGACCACGGCTAATGGAACAACGCGTAGACGGCGAGTCGGATGGACTCGGTACACGGGCACGCACTCGGGGGTTGACTCGGACTCGGTGCACGGGCACGCACTCGACGGTTCAGCTCCAACGGTCGGACGAGAGACGGTCACGGGCATGAGACGGCGATACACATTACGAATTGACAATACGACGGTTAAAAATTATCCAGACGGTACTAGGGTTCAGACGATTATAATGGATCCAGAAAAATACCCGGTTATCGGAACCGGATAAAACTAGGGTTCGATTCTCGAAGAATTTTAACTCATTTAAGGCCGATAATTAATATATATATTCTATGTGATTTATAATGAATCTATAATCCACAACTGCAGCTAAAGTCTCAGTCAAACTATTATTTTATTTATACGGCATTAATATCTAAAGTCTCGATTTTTATAACTAAGAACAACATCCGAAATTTACGAAAATCAAAACATCACATCCTCAATATATGTATGGTCTATGGTCAACATCTCAAGTCAAAAGTCAACTCCTAACTCAGTCAACTAGAAATCGCTACGACCGGTCAACGCATTTGACCGGCTCGTTTACCTACCAAACCAAGTCTGAAAATTATGAAATTTTAACCTACGCCTCAAAATGAGTAACGAATTTTATAGTATTTATTTCAACATTTTATTGCATTTATTTAAAAAGTCGAACATTTTAGCTTTAAGCCCGAAAATCCCGATTTATTCAAAATCGCACAAATCTCCCAATTTATTCTTTTAAATCAATTCAAATATTATGTCTAAGCCATCAAAATCGAGATCTAGTTATTATACCTTAAAACGACTCGGATCGGGAGGACCGAAAATAGATCAGGTAAGAACAAGAGTCCAAGAAACAAATCGGATCTAATCTTGAGCTGAGGGGCTTGATACTTGCTGCTGAAAGTCACGAAACTGAACTCACGGGTCGGGTCTGAAGTTGGTACGCTCGCGTGAACAGAAGAGCTCGCGATTTCCGGCGTGAACTCGCTGGAATCGGGCCTGGGACGGCGGAGCTGCCAGCTGAACGGAAGCTGGTCGCGAACTTGCTGATGTCAGCCGGCTCGGAGGTATTGGTTCGCGGGGAAAAGGTGAGCTCGGGTGAGGTCGCGCGAGCTTGGACTGAGGCGCGGAAAGTCGCCGTAAAACGCGAGCTAGGGTCGCGATTTCCGACGGGGCGGAGCTTGACTGCGGATCTGCTGGTTTTGGTTGCGCGTGGAGGAGCTGGTCGCGGTTTGGTTGCGCGTGGAGGAGATGGGAACGAAGCTGCTGCGAAGCTGGTTCGGTGGATGGCGACCTACGGGCTGGATGAGCTCGCCGGAAGGAGGATGACGGGCCGAGGTGCTGCGCGGGGACGAGCTGAGGAGGAGCTCGTGACGACGGGCTGAGGAGCTGGTCTGTTCTTGAGGGAGTTGCTCGCGGAATTTCGCCGGCGGGACTGAGCTCGGGCTGAGGAGGAGCTGCGGGTTTCACCGGAAAAGGGAGGAACTCGTCGGAAGAAGAGAGGGGTAGCCGGAAATAGGAA